GACTTGTTAATGGAATTTAATGTTCAGCGGTTGTCCCTTACAGTTAGTAGTATTACTGGAATACTAGTTAGTATGCGATGCATCCTATTAATAGTACATACTGTACGTACACGTGACGGATCTGTGATTTGCCCAAAGATCGGTGATTTGCCGAGCTGCACTACCCAATAGAATTCAAGAATTGATATGATTGGATTTCTACGTCTCATATTCAAATTTGGTGATGAATTGGTCCAGAAATAGATATTTAACCTAGTGGTATTTTACATGGGCGCGTGGATATTTGGCCATAGGGGTGGCCGCTGAGATGTATCTTGATTTTTGTATGTGACTCTTATCCGTATGTGATATCCGGAGGCAGTTGGGACCTTTAACCTCCCACTGCAGTGATAAAACGCATTAATTCGGTATATACAGATACAGTTAACGTTTTGGTTTTTGGGTTTAACTACATTAATTGTACGTTAAATAATAAAACCTCCACTCTTCGATTTGGCCAGTTGGAAGTTTTTAGATGACGTGCATCATATAAAGCCCCAAAAAAAGTGAGCTTGGCACTGCAACTTTTACGTCGAGATAATTTGAACTTCGCCGGATATGGAGGATTAAATGGAGCTCAAAATCGGCAGATCACAGATCCGTCACGTTATTTCGAAACGTATTTGAACCAGAAGCTAGTCTGTACCGGTGTGATTGTCGTCGTGAATGTCACCATCACACACACAATCAACATCATCACACTTGTCCTATTGTCGTGTTTTAAAAGTTGATGGGCTTGTCGTACGCAGCATTGCATGCTTCTTTGAACGCTTCACTCAACGTCGGGTGGGCGTGGCAAGTGCGCCCAATGTCTTCGGCGGACGCGCCGTATTCGATCCCGAGCACGCCTTCCGAGATCATTTCACCTGCGTTGGACGCAATGATGTGGATGCCGAGGATCTTGTCGTCGTCCTTGGCAGCCAGCACCTTGACGAACCCGTCGGTTTCGCCCACGGCGCGGGCGCGAGAGTTGGCCATCATAGGGAACTTGCCCACGTTGTACGCGACGTTGGCGGTCTTGAGCTCTTCCTCCGTCTTGCCAACACTCGCCACTTCGGGGAACGTGTAGATGACGCCAGGGATCGCGTCGTAGTTGACGTGGCCGTGCTTGCCGGCGATGGTTTCGACCACCGCGATGCCCTCCTCTTCGGCCTTGTGGGCCAGCATCGCGCCTTCAATCACGTCGCCGATCGCAAAGATGCCGTCGACATTTGTCTGGAAGTTGCTCAGGTTGACCTTGATGCGGCCAAACTTGTCGGTTTGGATGCCCATTTCTTCGAGCCCCAAGCCTGCCGTGAACGGACGGCGACCCGTGGCCACCAGCACGCAGTCGGCTTCAATCGTCGTGGCTTCCCCGCCCGCCGCCGGCTCCACCGTCAGCGTGACCACGTCGCCGTCGACCTTGGACGCAGTGACCTTTTGGCCCAGCTTGAACGTCATGCCTTGCTTGGTGAGCAACTTCTGGAACTCCTTGGTCACTTCGTGATCCATAGTGGGGCAGATCTTGTCGGCGTACTCGACCACAGTGATCTTGGACCCGAGACGGCCGTATACTGAGCCCATTTCGAGACCGATGACGCCACCGCCGACCACGACCAAGTGCTTGGGCACGCGCTTCAACGCCAACGCGCCCGTGGAGTCGATGATCTTGCCGCCTTCGTTGTCAACGGGGACGGGAGGCAGCGGGGTGACTTCGGAGCCCGTGGCAATGAGGATGTTCTTGGTGTTGACGGTTTGGTTGCCTCCGGCGTTCAACGCGACGCTCACTTGGCCCTTGGCCACGACCTTGCCGTAGCCCTTGATATAGTCGACCTTGTTCTTCTTGAACAACCCTTCGATCCCGCCGGTGAGGATCTTGACCGTCTTGTCCTTGGACTTCATCAGCTGGTCGAAGTCGATGCTCACGTTGTCCACCTTGATGCCCACGCTCTTAAAGTTGTGTTGCGCCGAGTGGTACAAGTGCGTGCCGTGCAACAACGCCTTGGAAGGAATGCACCCGACGTTCAAGCAAGTGCCTCCCAACGACCCACGGGATTCAATGCACGCCGTCTTCAAGCCCAACTGCGCGGCCTTGATCGCCGCGACGTACCCGCCAGGACCGCCGCCCACCACGACCACGTCGTACTCAGTGGCAGACGAGCTGAAAGAGGCCACCGCGGACGAGCGCGCCATGCGAAGTTTGTTAAGGGAGCGGAAGGCCAACATGATGAAGGGCAGGGAAAAATCTCTCAATGCGGTGCTTGCAGCCACTTGACATTGTGTTCACGCCACCGAGCGATCAAAATTATCTAGGTAAATGTATGATGGTGTTTTGATTTAAAACAATGTACCCCTTCTGAAACGTTGCGCCATCTGGCAACGTATAGTTCAAAAAAGTACATGTCGAAACGTTTTCGAATGGCTGAAAGTGTTTATAAAAGCATGGGGAGAACGCGTCAAATTGTGGTTATATTTATATTATTAGGTCAATACACGTTAAACACAGGTGAAACCAAGTTTGAAGTGCGTTTTATTGTTTTATCCCAGCGTCAAACTAAATGCAGTTTTCGTCCATTTCATCATTTCACGCACATGTAAAACCTCACCAGACGGCTTGCAAGCTTGCTTATATAGGTTTATTGTCTTTAGGATCGTCTCAATCCAATCGCTGAGTTTCTTCAACCCTTGAAAGTGAAGATGTCATCCCAAGCCACTACAGATAAAACAATAAAACGCATTAAACCCATGGATTGCCATGCGCCAATAATCCATGCGACGAGCTGATTGGTCCATAGCTAATAGACTGGCGATCCAATCGAGCATATTGAACATGAGCGACTCCGACTCCGACAGCGGCAGCAGCGGCGACGAGCAGGCGTTCTTCAAGCAGCCTGCCGCGCCCTCCTCCAAGAAAGCTCAGACGTCGTCGTCCAAGGCGAAGGTTGCCGAGGCCATCAACTCTGACGACGAATCTAGCTCAGACGATGATGAAGGTGCAGACGACTCGTCGGCACTCGACAAGGCCCAACTGGAAGAAGATGCGGCGGCCAAGACCCAGGCCACGGTGTACGTGGAAGGAATCTCGTACGACGCCGACGAGAGCGCACTGGTGACACATTTCGCCGACTGCGGCACCGTCAAGGAAGTCCGGCTGCCGCGATACCAGGACTCGGGCAAACCTCGCGGGTACGCCCATGTCGTTTTTGACTCGGACAAGGCGGTTTCCAAGGCGTTGGAGCTCGATGGCAAGTACATGATGAAGCGGTATCTGACCGTTCGACCTGCAGAAACCCCTCGTGGCATCGACCAAGGTATACGGTTCCTTCTGCACAAGGTCAGTTATTGATCGATTTTTCGTGTCTCTAGCGGTACAAAGTCGCAAACATGTCAAAGTGACCAAGGGCTGCCGCACCGTGTACATCAAACAATTGCCTTACGAAGTGGACGAAGACACTGTGAAAACTGCACTGGCGTAATAAGCAAATGTTCATTTTACCTACGTACATGCATTGACATGGAAATTTGTGGTGGTAGGTCATGTGGGGTCATCGTCAGCGTCCGCCTTCCTATGTGGGGCCACACCAAGAAACTCAAGGGATTTGGGTATGTCGAGTTTGCAGACGAAGCGTCCGCCGTGAATGCTGCCAAGCGCAGCGGCATGAAGGTAGTAGTCGTACTAGTATACGATCCCATTAGTATCGATTCTAAATCGATAGATTGGGAATCGAATGGTGCTGATTGATTTGGACACGGGCGCGCCCAAGGCAAGCTTTCGACAGACCAACGGACAGTACTGGAACAAGGGCGAAGAAGGCAAGGCCAGTTTGGCCAAACGAATGAACGACAAGGGCAAAAACAAACGGCTGGCGACTGAGGGGCGCGAAAACGTGAAAAAACACAAACGACCTACGTTGTAACCGACGTAATACTAATACTACTACTGTACTCCGACTAACATTAGTATTGCTTGTATTGTTAATTGACTTTGCTGGCTCACACATGAAGAGGAGGCGGTGTTCAACAATAGGTAGTTGCATTGTGATTGGAACGCTGGTAGCGTTACACTCGATAAATCTATCGTCGCGTTCCCTCTGCGTTGAATTCGGAATGGAACCACGGTGTCGATCTACCATACATTCCGTACAGAAATACAACGTTACCTCAAATAGAACTCGAGCGTTCTGTCGACTCATCGGACCACTCAAAGCATAAAGATTACTCCGGTATCATTCCAGTTTGGCCCAGGTGAAAAGACATGGATTCGAAATCGAATGAGCAGCACCAAATTGGCAGACAAGCGATATACGACCAATTAAAACCCAGAACACAATTCAAGTGGCCAATCAAATACTCCCTTCGACAAATTCTACATACAAATGTACTACGTAGTACAACGAATCGATCAGTATATTTGGCGAATCAGCACAAGAGTCCAAATTTTGGGTAAAACGACAACACCACTAACTGCGACTATATTGGTCACTCACCCCCTCCGTCCCAGAGTTCTGCGCGAGTTACACGACGACGTTAGCAAGGCAATATTGCTGGATAGTATTGGCAACCAACGACCCATTTGGTGCGTTTTCTTTGGCTGATGCGCGAGAAAGAACGTCACATCAACCAAATGTCCATTCTTCTCCGTAAGACCTGGCATAGGTGACCCCGTGTAAATGGCCTTGTTCCGCGGCCCACTCCTTCGCCCACGTCGTCCCACCTTTGGATCGATGGCAGTCTAACGTACAATATTCCCCATCGAGCTGTACATCCAAAACGTTGAGGCCAGTACAATTGTTCAGAGTTATCGGTTTGGCTAAATAGATCCTCATCAATTCCAAAGTCCAACTAACGTTACGCTACACAAGTAACTATATTGAAATGTCCATCATGACTTGACTACGCCCGATGTCATTCTGTGCGTGGCGAATCACAGTGAGTGTCTTGACAGTCCACTGTTGCTGAGAAGTCAACGGCAGATTTGAAGTGGATCGCCCCACTCTGCTCATGAGGGCCGTAGCGTTCGCTGAATGCTGAGGAAGGGAGCGAGAAGAAAGTGGCCGAGCATATATTATGTACCGTCGCTGACATCAAATAACACGTTACTAGTATATGCGATGACGGGTTGTTGCGTGTCGCTACGATTTGGTAACAAGGTCCTGTGAACTTCGTAACGATGGACAGCAGCAGCTGCACGCCTGGGTTCAAAGCCTTGTGGGAAGAAGCATCGGGTGTGTGTCGAATATGACGAGCGAAATGTGGCAACGAATGGACCAATGTTATCAAGTACTAGTAATGTTAGCATGTTAAAAAGCGCGCGAAATGCACTTCAACATGCATTGTCAACTACTGTAATATGATTGGTTCCAACTTGCGCAGTCTCTATTCGTTTTCACACTGTCGAAATTGACCAACGCGCTGAAGGGATGAAGTCGTTCACATGTGCGGCGATCCGGGACGGGGCCGTCTTTAGGGTGACACTGGAAGACGGCCAGCAAGTATTCGACCTCATGGATGCGATCAAGGAGAAATGGGGGTGTACATGTCCTCCGCATGAATTGTCGCTCTACCTGGCGAAGCAGGACACCAGCTGGATCAAGGCGACGCATCCCGAAGTCAAGATGCTGCGGTCTGACAAGGTTGGTGCCGAGGTCAAAGCGCTGTTAGAAAACGAAGCGATGCACCAAACGATGGAATCGGGTGCATTCGACCTCCCCAGCAACGACAGCGACGACATCCACGTGTTGGTGGCTGTCCGCACGAGATGGTTGACGTGTGCGATGGTCGGGCTCGGGACAATCATCTACATTGACATGCTCGATTACAAGACTGTCCTCGACCTGCAGAAGGCAATCAGCGAGAGACTAAACTTTGCATTGCATGCGGCTTGCATGGTCCTGTACGTGGCGAAGAAGGGCAGCAAATGGCTCGCCATCAACGACCTGAAGAAGGTCAAGTCGAGTGGAATGGCAACGTTCACGACTGCCGGTGGCCAACTGATGAAGCCGCGCACACGACTAGGTACTTACAACTTCCCCGGCGAGGTGGCGTACTACGAAGAAGACGGCGACGTCGACGACGTGCACGTGTTGGTGGTGTCCGTGCCGCCAGCCCGCGAAGTCGCTTCCAGCGCGACGCTTTCGTGTGTGACAATCGGAGTTGGGACACTATTTACCCTCAAGGTCCGTGACAGCATGAGCGTGGCCGACCCCGACGGAATGGTGCTCAAGACTGGAAATACACCTGGTGGAATCAAGTCCTTGATAACAAACGTGACCACCCTGGACAACACAACTCGATTGCGCACATTGAACTTCCCCGATAACGGCAGCAACGACATCCACGTGTTGGTAGCTGTCCGCAAGCGATTGTTGACGTGTGCGGTGGTCGGGGTCGGGACAATCTTTTCCGTCGACATGCGCGATCACAAGATGGTGGAAGACCTGCAGTACGCCATTCGCCAGAGTCAGAAGTTTGCATTTCCAGCGACCTCCCTGAACCTGTACGTTGCGAAGAAGGACAACACGTGGCTCACCATCCACGATGCCGACGTGAAGCTCGTGATGACTGGCAAGATTCCAAGTGGAATCAAAGCGATAACGACTGCAGGTGGCCAACTCATGGCGCTACATTTGCCACTTCATTCTTTCAACTTCCCTGGCGAAGTCGTTTACGCGGCAGGGGGCGACATCGATACCATACATGTGTTGGTGACGGTGCCGAAATCGCACCAAACGGCCTCCAACATGGCGATATCGTGTGTGGTGGTCGGAAGCGGCGTCAGCGTGGCAATTGTGAAAGACGAGCGCGACACCGTCGTGGACCTGAAGAAAGCCATCGCGGAGCGCATGGAGTTTCCATTTCCTGCGTTTCAATTGACGCGGTACGTTACGAACACGAACGACAGCGACTGGCTCCAGCGGAGTGACCGCGATGCAATCGAGCTGACGTGTGGAGAGATCCCCCCTGGAATCAAACAACTGATGTCGGACGAGGCCAAAATGGACTCCGAATCCATCTTGAGCGAATTTTACTTCGTCGACGACGAAGTGTCCATCGGAGATGACATCCACGTGTTTGTGGACCTGCCAGTGCATACAAAGGCCCATTACGCTAGTTTTGAAGTAGAGCTGGAAAACCCCGTCGTGGGGCGACCGGTCACGTCGATTTCATCGCCTTCTACCTGGCTTTGGCTGTCATGAGTGCTTTTGCCATTGAGGACTCTATTGTTGTCGAAAAAGGACGACTAGCGTTGAGGACGAACACTTGTTTGAAGCTGTCCTGCGCTAATACTGTACTGCACGCCTTGAGCAGCAAGCACCAACAGTAACAGTTAAAGTGTGTTTTCGTACCAATTCTTTGCTTCCTTCTTTGCCACATATTCCGCAGTTATGCGCGACACAGACACTTGTCCTCATATGGCTCTTGCCGCCTAGCTTGGAGCGGTTGTTAGCCTTGGTGCATGACGTGGTCAACGATGAATTCATTGTTTTCGCCCAGGTATGCCCACAACAACCTCAACGTTCTGGAGCATTTAAACCACCTGCACGCATCTATGTAACAGATCCTTGCATCTGTATCGGTCCTCTCGTTACCTTCCTCGTCATTCAGTGTCCGCCTTTCCCATCGAGCGGCGCGAGGCGGGCTTGATGGCTTATGAAGTTTGACTTCAACCTCGGTGTACGTGTCGCATTGACCACGGTGACGGGAGGACATTTGATTCTTGTGACATTCTACAAATTCTGACGACATACAGTATGGACGAACACAGACATTTGGAAGTTGTGATATTGCTACATATGCAGCAAACTGAGTGTGTCAGACGTTTAGACACCCTCATAGTTACAATGTCATCAACAATCACCTAACAGCGGTGAAGCAACCTCACTCGCAGTTAGTCATAAGATCAATATGAACACTGACTTTGAGATTACAATTTTTATCGTGTTCTGTTTGTGGCTATCATGCATGCAGCGAACACCACCAACTTTAATGAAGTTTGCACAAAATCAATTTACAGTTATGTGGAAATCGACGAGCTTGTATAGGTGTAATGATGTCAATATGATGGCCGAACAACTGCCATCCGTACAAGTGAACTATAGTGTACGACGCCCCATTGAAGTCCCATGTCCCTCAATTCGGCTTCTTTAATAACACACTGTACTTGCTTGACTTGTTGTCCCATCGATTGTCCAAGCAATCAAAAACATTGTTCATGTTCAGCAAATAGAGTGATCGTCAACGCTAGTCGTCCTTCTTCAACAACAATGGAGATGCTATCGACCCTGAGGACGATAGCATTGCCAACGCCAGACAGAAGCCAATGAAAGCGACGTCAACTCGCACTGCGAACATTGGAGTAGCTTATAGGCAATAGGAGGAGACGGCCTCGCGTCGCTCGATGAGAAAGGCGGAGTACACGCAGAATGATGAGGAAGGTAATAACAAGAGGACTGAGGCAAGGACTAGGCTATTTACATGGTGGAGAAACCGCCATGAAGGTTGAAAATATTATGGGCATACCTGGGGAAGTCAACGAATCCATATTTGACCATATCGTGCACCAAGTAAATTTCAGATCCATGCTGCGGCGTCGGCGCGACCAATCATGCGATGGCAGATCTATCACCTGTCTTGACACTGTGCGCGGCCACTGCAAGCTAGACGACAAGGGCCGTGTGAGGAGAAGGTGTCACTCACAACTGCGGAATATACTATTAATAGTATGGTACGGTAGGGAACAAGGAAATCGTGAGAAGTCGTTCATTAACGAAAAAATTACAGGAATTTTGAAATCAAACGTGAGCAATACTGTATCGCACTTCACCACATTTTGACGGGCTCTGATTGGTTCAAATTTTCACTTTCTGGATTCTTTTTCACACTTTTGAATTGGAAACCAACTGGAGAGATGAAGGCGTTCGAGTGTGCGGTCATCGGCAACGGGGATATCTTTGGCTATGGAATTGAAAGCAATCAGCGAGTAACCGATCTGAAGATTGCGATCAAGAAGTACATGGGGTTTAAGTGTGATTTGCATGAATTCACGCTTTTCCTGGCGCAGTCAAGCGACGGCAACTGGCTCAAGGCGACCGACCCTGATGTGCCGATGCTCAAAGCTGGCAAGATACCTCGTCGAATCAAGCAATTGATGACTCAAGACAACAAGATGGAGGAAGGAGCTCTATTGAGCACATTCAACCTCCCTGAAGGGAAGTTGAATGTCGGCGACATCCACATGCTGGTGGCCGGGGCTCATCGCGTAAAGATATTATGCGCGATCGTTGGGATCGACGACATCGTGCCAATGAAGATCGATGAGCGCGACTGCGTCGTGCACCTGAAGCAGGCGATCATGAAGTGCATGGAGTTTCGATTTCATTGGTCTGAGCTGAAGTTGTACGTCGCCAAGGTTAACGGCGCCTACTGGCTCCGGTCGAATAATCCTGGTGTGGCCAAGTTGAAGGCGGGTATGATCTCGAGTGAAATCAAGCGAATGATGACGGACGTGGCGGAGATGAAGGGGGAATATGAATTGAGCGAATTCCACTTCACAGACGACGACGAAAGGGCCCAGCGGACGACAAATCCATGTGATTGTGGACCTTCCAGCGCACGCCAAGGCCTATTACGCTCGAAACGCTCGAAACGCTCGATACGCTCGTACGTAGAGTTCATGTGCTGCTATTTGACCCAATGTCGAAGTAGGACAGGAAAAACCCGTGGTTGGGCAAGGGATCACGTCGATTTCATGGTCTACTGCCTGGCGTTGGCTGTTGACAATACTACCGCAGACTTGTTTGTCGCCAAAGGAGTAAGTTTAGCGTGAGGGGGCATACGCTTGTGTGATGTATTCGGAACATATTTCAATGAATTCTTTTTGCTGGAACGAGGATGTTTGAAGCGACAACAGAGTACTTTGAAAAAGAGAAGGCAAGTCTTCCACAATAATATGGCTACACTGCACTACCGAAACCCACTTGAACTACTACACGCTGCCCACACCGGTCAACCAACCTACTTTAATATTTGTTGTATTCCCCAGCAGCAACGACAGCAGAACACAGTTGAGGAGAGAGGCACTTCGCAAATTCGAAACTGACAGCGACATTTGTAGAGGGGCAAGTTGTCGAACAATCCAAGCCCCATCACATTGGCCGAAAGCTCGAACGGGTACAGTAGATTACTCCAGTAGTACTTACTACCTACCGGTAAGTAGGTACTGTATTACTACGTAGTACTACGAAGTACTAACTGTAAGCTTACCCTTAGAGGTTATGTACGAAATGTCATTTGACGTTAAAAGTAAATCATACTGTACTGGTACTTCATTACGAAGGATACGAAGTAACAACGCCCCAGATTGGTGCCTACATAGGGTACACAACTTACGCCTCTAAAAGCTGTCTGTCGTCCGGCCGAAATAGCACGTGAGAGTTCGCGAGCCTTTGCTGATGGCTCAAATGAACGAGTTTGATTCGATCCAGTAACGTTTGAGTAGACTGTGACAGTCGCAGTGTTGTCGCCATCCTTAAGAACGTTTGAAAAATCCGGATAATGATAGTAGTACTATTAATAGTCGTACTTTCTGGAACGTCGAGTTATATTTATTTACTTCGAAGTATTAATACATGTTAATACTATTATTAATAATAGTACTACGTAGTATTAGTAATACTACGTAGTATAACACTAGCGGAACATCAATTATTTTAAATAATTCGTGGGTTCGAAACTCCGATGAGATTCAGGTAATCCATTTTTTCAGTGAACCAACAAATTTAACAACTTTGAACGACGAGTCCTATGCAAATACAATATCAATCGCCCGTGTTTTGATGGATCTCAGAGCTATACTTGTACAGTGTAAGCATAAGATAGAGCAACTTTGCATTCTAAAGTATGCGCAGCAACGCCGATGGATCTAACATCCAAAACAGAGATACAGGTCAAAATTCAATGAATTTGCACTTTTCAACTCGTTGGAACTCGTTCTGCTCATCTTACCGTCAAATGCTACTCCTGGATCTCAAATGCAGTACGAAGAATGTAATGGTGTAAGGGCGTCGTCCAGTCGGCTTTACATTTCAAAATATAAGCTTAAGCATGGTTCCAAAAGATACAGGAGATTCAGTCAAGATCCATGATTTGACTTTTGGTGCATTTACAGTACATACTAGTGGTTCATATAAACTTGATCTTTGTATTGAAAAATAGTAGAATCTGAAAAATATGTTATTAATAGTACTACCGTATACCTTATGGATCAGTACCCATGATTTTGCCTTATCGAGTTGTACCCAAATTGCTGTATGGTGTCAATAAAGTACGATTTGGTGGTACCTTGGAAGGCTG